GTATCTCTGGGCGCGAAAGACATCGCCAAGATGTCATTCCTCAACAGGTAAGCACCCCAACTTGCCACCTTCATACCCCAACAGAAAAGTGTATTAGCATTTACTGGCACCAAACATGGGTGTGTGGATTCAATTATATGTTCAAATATGGAATTCAAAATAGTGAGAAATAATGCTATTATGCAGTATCTATAATACTTACACCACAGCCTGTATCAATTGCAGTTCTGATGTTGCCCTTACTAAGAGGAATGAGAGCATCAATGTCATCTATATATGCACCAGCTCCCCGTGGAAACATGGTGCCTCCACCAGGGAATCTAAACCTGTCACCCTCAACTTGAATCCAATTCTGAACAGCTTTCTCAATGCTGAGCTCCCTATGGGGGATGTTGTCATACCAAGCAAAATCTCGGCTCTGAGGCCACTTGAAAGGGGTCTTATACTTTGGTGGAGCAGGTATAAGGCAAAGCAATTGTTCTTCCTTGGTGGGGCAATGCCGCTCTCTGTATTTCAACATTTTTCTGTCAAATTTCCTCCCCCTTTGAGGATCTTGGCAGGGAGTGTATTCACTGTAGGCCATGTCGCATGCTGGGAACTTTTGGATTGCCTCGGATTTGTTGATATCCACTTGATGATGGCTTTCAAAGTCCAAGTGAAGTGATGATGATGATGCTGATGCTGCTGAGGAAGAGGAGGAGGAAGTGTTGTTCCCTCCTTGATTTTGAGACGTTTCATCACAACCAACCCCTTGGTAGAGCTCAGATCGATTGACAGGAGAAGAAGTGGTTTGCCAAGCTCCTAACATGTAGCATACTACGCAGAGTGCGCTAACCCCGAAAATCCAAGTAAGCCTCCTCTTCTTGGATTCTAGGTGATGGTGCTTTGGTGATCCACCAGTATAGTCCCTGGCCATTTTATTCTTTCTGCAAAAGTTTCAATTCAAAGAAAGCATTCAGATCACACTCTATCATCAATTAAAATGCCAAGAATTCAGGCCTTGTTCACAAATCACAGGTCCCGCTCATAACTATTTTAAATCATCTAAAAATAAAAATAAAAAGTTCCCAACCTACATGAATTAAAACTTCATAATTTATTCGAAACATCAAAGATCACACTCTATCAGTCAAATATGTAAAGATTCAATCTTTACTCATAAATCATAAACCCCACGTATAATCATTACCCCACCTCACCCCCACTCAATAAAACTTAAATATATTATGTGAAAACAGAAAGAAAGAAGGAAAAGGCAAATTTCACAGAGCAAGTCCAAGATCCAAACACTGGAAAGGCAAAGCTACAAGATCAGAGCATAATGGTGTACATAACGAAAACAAAAACAACAAAATCAAAGAAATGAAAGGAAAAATGAAGAATATGCAATCAGAAATGTACCTATTTCCAGCAACAGAAGTTGAAGCTAGAAACAAAATAAGGTACTCAGCACCCTACTTAAAAAGAACTCCACTGAAGTCTGAATCTTTCTTTTTTCTTTTTTTATTCTTTGCTTGTTTTTGCCCCTCAAAGTTTATTGGCATAAAAACACAGAAAGAAACAGCCTAAAACCCAATAAATCCGCAGAGAAATCCACTGGAAACATGTAGATTAGTGTACTCAGCAGCAGCAGCAGCTGCAGATGGGCAACTTGTATTTCTCTGCAGAAAGAAAGAGCTTCTAAAAGGACAGAGCTTTTTTTTTACCTGATAAGAAAATCTCAACCAAGGCTCTCTCTCTATCTCTACCTCTATCTTTCTGACTCCCCCAGTGCAGTATTACCTCAAATACAACCTCAGAACAGTAAAAACGAAAAAGGGTGTTTTCAAGTCGTATTTGTTTTCATATTTCTTTAATTCACGATTGAGGAAATATTAAAAATTGAAAAGAAGAAGCAAGAGGGTAGAGCCAAAAAGGTTATATAATAAGAATAGGATACATGAAGAAAGATCGAGGTTTAAAAGTCTCCGCGATTACAGGAAATGGGCAAGTGGTGACAGGTGAGTATTTTGTTCAAGCAATAATCTTTCTTTCGTTTGTTTATTTTCAAACGGAGGAAAAGTGAAAGAAGAAGCAGAGAGAGAGAGAGAGAGGGAGATGGGAGTAGTTGTGATTGGGTGTCTGTTTGTTTGTTTGATTCAAGTCTTTGAGTAATTTGTTTTATCTAAAAATAGATTGAGAAGGAGTTTAGAGACTCATCGGAGGCTAGTGAGAGTGAGCAGAAGGAGGAGCGTGGATTTTGTCCACTAGACGACATTTGCGGCTTTCTCAAACCGAGAGAGAGAGACTCTGACCAAGTGACCACCCTCAAAATGCTCCTCACCAATTTTTTTTTCAAAATATTTAAATAAATAAAAATCTTTTCAAAAGTTGATTAATTTTAGTTTTTCTTTTTCTTTAATTTAATGCATAAACTGTTACCATATTTTTAGGTTACAATTAATAATTGATAACCCAAAAATAATGCTAAAAGCCACTGACAGACTGATAGTTAGTTTAGTTAATTACGCCTCTCTGCAAAAGTAGCAACAGTGTTTGATATTTATTTTCTGTTCACCTCCTTCTCCGCAATACGCACACACAGCTGTATTCTGTTTCCAATCTGGGCTGCATTAAATTGCTAAACAATCCAAACCTGTTCATCCCCCAGTCCCATTTATTTTGTAAAAGATAAAATGGACATCCCAAGAACCAAAATCTTTTCTTTTTCTTTTTCTTTTTGGTTCCACTCTTTGAGCATCTGTTTTATCACGAGTCATATGTTGTTGAAGGGCATCTTCTTCTACCCGATGCTGGAGACGTGCATTATTAACTCTCACATCAATACTTTTTTAGAAAAGCAATCGGTTTATAGTTCAAATGATTAAGAACGGTTATTCCTATTGCATATGATGTCTTGTGATTAAATTTCTTTCGCCGATATCGCTTATATAAAAAAATAAAAAGGAACTTAATCAGAAAATAAATAAATAAATAAGCTGTCACATAATACAAGATGTACGTGCAAAACACATAACTCCCCAAATATATATGTACGTGCAAATTGAAAAGGATGGACCAACGTAGTAGGGGTTGAGAGGGACAAAGGGAGGAGCTAAATTGCAAAGAAAGATCACGTGATGCCCTGCTGTATTCTGTTTCCAATCTGGGCTGCATTAAATTGCTAAACAATCCAAACCTGTTCATCCCACAGTCCCATTTATTTTGTAAAAGATAAAATGGACATCCCAAGAACCAAAATCTTTTCTTTTTCTTTTTCTTTTCTTTGAGCATCTGTTTTATCACGAGTCATATGTTGTTGAAGGGCATCTTCTTCTACCCGATGCTGGAGACTTGCATTATTAACTCTCACATCAATACTTTTTTAGAAAAGCAATCAGTTTATAGTTCAAATGATTAAGAACGGTTATTCCTATTGCATATGATGTCTTGTGATTAAATTTCTTTCGTCGATATCGCTTATATAAAAAAATAAAAAGGAACTTAATCAGAAAATAAATAAATAAATAAGTTGTCACATAATACAAGATGTACGTGCAAAACACATAACTCCCAAAATATATATGTACGTGCAAATTGAAAAGGATGGACCAACGTAGTAGGGGTTGAGAGGGACAAAGGGAGGAGCTAAATTGCAAAGAAAGATCACGTGATGCCCTTGAGTGGCAAATATTATGTTTGTTAATTGTGTCCCATAAATGTTGGCTGCATTATTATCAGCAAGGGCTTTTGACCCCACAAATAGATGCTGACGTGGGATTCAAATATTAATGCGCTTGTATGATTAGCAAAAACCTAATTCAATCATGCAATTATGCAATTGTGCCATGCAACAGTCTTGTTTTGGAGGAGAGCAAGCATGCATACATTTGGAATTGAGAAGAGAGTGATGATGATCTTAAAGTCGAGATAAAAGGGGGGACCTTTGAGAACGACTGGACTGTTCTCCCCATTTTCAAAAGTCATGACATGATCATAATTTTGTTTCCTCCCTTCCCCTTGTCCTTTGCATTAATTAGGACACTTGTTTATTTTCGAGTGGAGGTGAGAGGACACTTGCGCGTTGCTCGTCTAATAAGAAACTGGAAATACGAAGAATTATCGCTTCGTCACGTCATGTGATGTTATTAATCCGCGTCTTATAAGACAAGTGAAAGACGATTTATATTTTAGAGTACTGTATTAGATAACCACGCCGACGTACATCCATCAAAACAACGAGAATCAAGATGAGGCATAAAAGTGACTGAAAGCTTTGGCTACGTAACGCCTTTTTCATTTCTTTGGTCAAAAAGCAAATGGGACTTTTGGGTACTTCTTTTACCCTCAATAATTATCAACTGGTAGTTTTGTTATAATTTATCTACCAAGTAATTGTCTTCATTCTAAATATTTATCCGCAGACATTCCTCCACTAGTCTCCAGTTCAAACATGCAGCATATTTATCCTCACTTTTCACACACACCTTCGACTAAAGTTTAAGTGGTAAAATTTTTGTCCTCAATCAAAACCTTTCTCTGAATCAATAAATACTCATTTTCTGCTAATATTTTACAACATTGCACAAACTTTTTTTATTTTCTTTTCTGCAGCGTTGCTTCTGTAATCATGGAAGGATTTCAATCACTCCTATATTTGATCCATGGGATGGAGAAGGAACGAGAGGGGTAGTCCGTTCCGTGGGGTTAAATCTATTCATTATCATTTATGTGACTTCCAAAATTCTCCAAACAATTTCTATTTCAAGTTTATTGAATGGGGACCAAAGTCGGTAAAAAAGGGAGGAATTCGGAAGTCCGGACCAAGTGGATGTGAAACCACCCTCACAAAAGCTGGACCACCCTTGTGAGTTTGTTGTCGTATATAAGAATCCGTAGGGAAAGGGGTCCATAAGCTTGAATGAGTAATCATTAAATCACCATCCAAAGGTCACCCAAACACTATACATTTGTTGACACTGAAACACCGAAATGGCTGGCTTCTAAACTTTCAGAATTTATAGCCGAAAGGAACTTTTATATTTTAGTCCACAGAAACCATACAATAAGGTCATAAATTAAATAAAGGACAACTATAATGTTATACATGCACAACAATAAAACAAATTTCACCTATTTAGGATCTTAACCAACCCCCTCCTTCCTCCATACCCATACCCAAGAAAAAGGCACCAAATCTGGAAAAAAAAGAAAAGAAAAGGAGAGAGCTACAACCTAATTAGCATATGATGCTGACGAGCCCCCTTGTTTTTCTAACAGCCGCCCAACGGTGCTTCCCTACAATCTCATATCACAATTAAATATCTGTCTTCAAAGAGTAGCATTTCCCGTAACTGAGAGAATTCACTGGATGCTGTTCACTAACTTGTCAAATTTCTGCGCAATTGCGTGATTCTTCCTGCAATTGTACAATTGAATTAGCGACACAATTGCATTATGTATCATCTCTTTCTTCGGATTCTCGATGAACTTATTGTTTTCAACTTCAGCTTGACAGCTTGTCTCTCCTAGTGACGAGCACAGTGCCTTGCACCAATCTTCAAGGAATGACGCTTTCTATATGCAGCAGAAAGAAAAATGAGTCAGAAACAGCCAAAAGAAAAACTCATACCTAAGTTTCCACGCACACAATACACAGGTTAATTTAATGTACTTGTAAGAAACACTTACTTTCACAAGAATATCTTTGACGGGTTCACGATCAGAGCTTGAAGCGAGGATAAGAACATGCAGCATAGTTGAGGTCAACTGAACCAGGCACAAGAAAAACTATTAAACATATCATATACCTCAGGCTCACACACACATGTAACCAAAATGAATGGTTTTGACCAATATTAACCCATATAGCTGCTCAGGTGCAAATGATTCGGATTACTGACCTGCTTTTCAAGTGCAACTCTATATTTGAAATTTGATGGTGATGCAATATGGTCTGAACCTTGATTCTCTAATATATGCACCAGACCCTGGATGACATCGGAGAAGGATTCCCCATAATCTGCAACACAAACGAATAGCCTTCTATTTCAATTTCCAGATTTATTTATTTTTGGAAACAATCAATTTCTAGATTTTATGAAGGAATGATTAAAAAAAACCTCACACAAAACAAAACAAGCAAGATATCTTGATCAAGAATGTATCAATGATATGTCAGTCAACCGATGCAACCGATAATAGTCAAAAATTGAACTTTGGTTGAGACTGATAACTGATATAGAATGATGGAGTTACCAAGAGAACCATGAAATCGAAGAAGAGAAAACCCTATTACTTACCAAGTACTGATGCTGGCACCGCCAGAGCGAGAACCATGAAATCGAAGAAGAGTAAACCCTATTACTTACCAAGTACTGATGCTGGCACCGCCAGAGCAGCAGCAGCTTGGATCCTGATCTTAAAGTTCGAAGAATCACGTAATAGTAGTAGTAGAATACTAAATACGGACGAAGCCCTGTCAGAAAACTATGCATACTTAGTTTTTATCATTTTAAATTAAGAGCTCACTTTCATACTTTAGGATGTAAATTGACCTCACACAGAACAATATTAGCAAACAAATGGCATTGTAACTGGTTGTCTCACTGTACCAATCCATGTCTTGCAGTCTTAATGTCTCATTCAGAAACAGGTTGCTCAAAGCATGACAAACATTCCATTGGACCTGTTAAAGGCACAGTAAAAAAAAGTAGAGAACAAAATATAATAATGAGGATACAGTCTCATCCATTCCATTCAAATTAGAAAAGAATTTCCAAATAGTTAGGACTGTGAATATGATACCTTAACATTACCAGTTGTAACACAAGAAATAAATGCCTGAACGACCTTTTCAAGCCAACGTGAATCTCCCAAAGAAGCTGGATGGCGTGATATTGATACATCTTCTTGGCTTCCTGCCCTGTAATTGCTTGACGGTAATTCCTCAGGTTTAGTGCCCTTTAGAGATGAGCCCTTATTGTCCGCTGTCCTGTCACTATCACTCGTATATTTGATAGATCTTGAAAGATTCCCTAGAGCCCTTACAGCATTTGATTTAATCTGACATTAGGGAAAAGAAAAGACTCAGAGATGTGAGAGATATACATACAACTGACTACAAATACTGGAATAAAGCAAAATAGTTGTGCATAAATCTTTAATAATCATAATCATCTACCATCTATTAACTTTTTACATGCAACTAATGTTGATGACTTGGCCTATTAACATCTTGTTTAACTATTACAGAGTAAAAGATTTCAAATGACTTGGCTTATTAAAATATTTACCTTGTCTCCATCCTTAGTCAGACGCAAAGCACACTCAGTTAATAATGTGAATAATTTAGATATTTCAGGAGAGCCTATACAAAAAGGGAAAAAAGAGAGAGAAGATTATAGTTTGAAAAATCAATGATACAGTGCAAATGCATTTGATATATCACTCTTCTAAATTTAAGCTGACCTCCAGACTGTTTCAAGGCAAAATCATCAATACAATGACGAAAAGAATCACATATGTTTGCCAAAGCCCAAGAAGCAGTTATTCGCACCTGAAAATAAGAATAGATATTTATAAAAATACCCAATCCTAGACATGTATTTATAAAAATACCCAAGCACTATTTAAATATAGAAACATACCCAAAATGGGTTTTGGGTATGTGTGTAATGATGGGTTTTGGGTATGTTTATAAATGGGTTTTGAGTGTGTGTAATGATGAGTTTTGGGTATGTTTATAAAGTGTTTTGGGTGTTGGGTATTTTTATAATTTCAGCCCCCATTTTGGGTATTTTAGTGAAACTCCCAAATAAGAATTAAAGGATAGGTTTGACTGCTTAAGAAACAAAATGAAACGCCCACTTCATTAAATAGAAAACAAAATTAGGGAATAAGAAAATACCGAGACCAAGGGATCACGAGTGTTAATCTCCACAGCATGAATAAACTTATCAAGAATCTCTGCACTATATAATTAAGTTTTTAGTGAATTTCTGTCCCAGGACAAAACAAAGCACAAAATTGATAAAGGATCAAATCAATAACAGATAAAAAGAATTTTGAGAAATCAATCAATGCCATTAAAAAAAAAATCCAAAATCACCTTTGAGAAACTTGAGGAAAGCATGAAATGACGCCAATGGCTCGACAAGCAGCTGACCTAACTGAAGGCACGTCATCATTTACAGCAGAACGCACCTAAAAAGATTTTGCAGGCATAGCTAATAAGAAAAAGATTTCTGTTCCATTTACCGAGAAGAGCAGTTAAAGTAAAGCACCAACAATTAGTAACAAGAAAACTTACTAAATTAGAAAGAATGAAGTCTTGCTTTTCCTTTGAGAATGAGATGAAGACAGAAGAAGTTATACCAGCAAAACAAGTAACCGAGGCAGCTCTCACCTTCAAGAAAAAGGAAACGGTTCAGAGAGATAAAAACACAGAAAGATATCTCCTCTGCATTAGGTAGATTTACCCAACTTAGGCAGGATTTGGATGCTCTCCATCCTGCTCTCAAATAGGGAGTTCTATTTGGAGGTTTCAGCGGTTCAATCATATGATCAAATGACCATATTCTCCCGTGGGCCAAATGGTGATAGTCGCCAAATATACCATTTTAGCAATAGATACATCTCTTTTTACTATTTTACAGTTCTTCATATAAAGTTCTTTTTCCCTCAAATTCCTTGACAACTATTTGTATGCTTTGACAGGGTTTTGTAATCTGCCAGAACTCTGGCTTTGACAACTGTTTACAAGGTTTTCTTATTTATTCAAACAAGTTATGTGATCAAAGGTCAATAGTTTATATCAACTAACCATTGCAGAAGTATGGTGTAGAACCAAAGGCATATGCTTCTCAATTGCCTCACACCACTGTTCATTTCCGGATTGACTTGATGTGGGTTCATCTCTAGTATTTTCTGCGCTCTCTGGTTCATACAAAGGAGCCGATGAAACTTTCTTCATCCTTACACAGTCAGAAATAAATGGGGCATCAAGTAATTTATCATCTAAAGGGTCTTCAGTTCCTTTAAATCCAGATATTGCACGTAGACATTCGTCCAAAACCTGATACAATTGACATCAAAGGACCATCGCATATGTCCACAGATGGGAAAAATCATTACACTGGCCTAAAATACTTCTAAGATTTTGCCTTATTTTCCAGTGTAAAACAAAGAGATTCACCCAAGAAAAACTACGTTTTTTTTTCTTTTTTGAGGGAGGAAAACCAAAGATATTAAGGGACACTTACTTTAATAGCAGCTGTAATGACTTTTTCCCCAATAAATCCAACAAAATTTCCAGTATGCCCCTTCCAAGACCCTGCAGGAACTTCAGGAGTAGCTGCCCTCAAAAGACCATAAACCATGGCGGAAATTTGTTCCCAACAGGAACACATAATACTTGGGTAATTGTGTGAAACAGCCCTAAGAGCCTGTAAGAAACAATGCAAGCAATGTAATGCAACATATTCCTTAGATATAATAATCACATATCGACATTGCCACATGCCCTTATCCACCATAATACTTTGGAAAGAAAAAAAAAAGAAATTAAAAAAGTGCACAGAAGAAAAGACACTATCAGGAAAACCACACACATTTCATGACAGTGGATGGCATGCTCATGGTTGGCCAGAAAAGAATCAGAACTGCTATTAAAACCTGATTATCCGAAATCAATTACCTGAAGAGCCTCAAAGCATATCGTTGGGTTGGTCACTTGTTCTGAAAATTGAAATAATGTACAAAGAACACCAGACTTCTTTTTAGCCTCAGCAAAACCTGGCGAAAGGCACAGAAAAATGAGAAAAAGTTTGAAATTCAATAGGACGGTGTAGCTTAGGAATTAGCAAACATGAGCACCAGTAAATTTAATCTTCTTAGGCCACCAAAGTTAAGCTCACCATTACATATCTCAATCAGAAGCATTTCTTTAACTTGCAGTGAAGATGGTGAGATATTCAGAGCTGTTGTCAAGCAACTAATACAAGAAGCCTGTCAAATGATATAAAAAATTGTATAAGATATCACAGTGAGGAAAGGCAGGCATCACAGATATTATTTGCGTACTGTATCTGCAAAATAAAAAGAGAAAGGGATGACTAACCAGCAGACCAGTCTGATCACTTTTGAATGGAAACCCATTTTTTATCCTTTCTTGTAGAGATGTAAAAACTGTTGGCAACAATTCTCCAGGCATTCGTGAATATCTGTTGAATGATCATCGATAGGAACAATAAGTACACAAGGTTTTTCTCAAAAAAGTCAGCAGTAACATCATGCATCGGATCTGTTGTGTCCACAAGTATCTAATAAAATAAATAAAATGCTATTATAAAGAATCAGCAGTCAAAGCAGGCCGGGCCATTTTTCAAATCCTCTCCACAATACATTTTTATTTTTATTTCTCTTTTTTAATAATATATTTTCTGTGGCATTGTATATAATAAATGCCCATGATTACAGAGCTCAACTTAAATACACAGGATTGCCATAAATAAAAAAAATAAAAAATACCACTGGTTGTCAAGATTATAACCGGCAAATATCTTAAACAGATGAATATCAATAGAAAGCCAATGATGGTGTACCAATTAATTTGGTTAGAAAAGAATCCCGATGGAAGGCTATGGCTAAGTTAACAGGGCGTCCAGATACAAGTTAGTTCCCAAATTACAGGTCCTATCAAAATAAGAATTCAATGTACTTCTATATGCATAAGTTAAGTTTACTATCCAAAAGCCTCCCTCAAGATTCTTCAGTCTGTTCAGAGCCTAATCATTTCATTTATTTCCATGACTACGAACCAAGCATCCAACTTGTCCTAGAAGACGTGTGCTGAGGCCTGCAACAACGAGGCTCACAGGGAACTAAGAAGGGCAAGTGCACCTTCATAGTTGTAGTGGACACTGGGAACTTAACTTTTGCAAATGCTGTTAGGGTTTCCAAATCAGATCCTAATGCGAAGGAGATGACTTTCTCACCCAAAAGTAAGAAAAGTGGGTAAGGAAAATATTCAAGCCCAAACAGGTAATATCAATGCACTCAAAGCTGTAAGCCATATCACTTGTGCCCAATTTCAGAATTGAATTATGAAAAGTATACACTAAAGTTTGTTCTAACATGAGGTTTTGGAATCTGAATACAGCTTTAAAAAAAACAACATAAGAAGATACAATGGAGTAATTACTAAATCACATTAAAACAAAACCAGAAAAAAAAAAACAATCCTTAACAATAAGATATTTTGGGGAGGAGAATTCATACGGTGTAGATGATATCAAAAGCATGAGAATCTTGAACAAGGATGCCATCAATCTACTATGACTTTCACGTTGAATTAAGTATAAAATACCTACACCAGATACATCATAAAATTATTGCAACATCAAGATAACCAAAAAATACTCGAACAAGTAAAAGTTATATTATTGCACCAAAAATAACTTTGTGCAGCATTACTACTTTCACAAACCTGTATGAAGCTGCATGAGTATATGTCCAAGGGAACTTGAAAGAGCTGTGAAAGATCCACGTTTAGAAGATTCCTTGAATTCTGCTACCTGCAGAAAAACTGAAGATGGACCATCCAACATTGCTTCCAGGGTTGAGGCAGATGAAATCCGTGCCTGGGAACCATAAAGAAGCACATGTCAGCTAGAATCACCACTAGAGAAAAATTACTACATGACCATGAGAATATGTTTGAAAGTTATGAAAATGAGAAAAAGAATTGTCATGCATCATGGCATAAGTACAAAGTTATCTCTACGTAAACCGCAGGGCATAGGTGTCAAATAATTCATGAAAAGGAAGTGCGGTGACTAAATATAATAAGAAAGAACAGTGAACAACACCTTTAGATAAGGATCAAATAGCAAGCATGTCATTAGTGTTGCTTCATACTTCCTGTAAATCAGAAGGTAACATGAAATAAGTGAGAATGAAAATTTGGTGATAGATAGTTAAGTTTATGAAATGAACTATTCATGAAGAGGAGGAATTAGGACGCTTTACCTAGGTTGTAGTACATCACTTGTTGGCAAAAGCAGCGTCCATTGGCTAGTAAATGATTTGGAATCAGCTTGACAAAGATCCTTCACCAAATTAACAAAGGAAATAAGGTAAATGTGCAGACATTAAAGATTTCATGCTCAAAAGGCACCATACCAATTTCTCCACATATAATGGATAATGAAACCATGTCATTTTGTTAAAATCTTGTTAAATTCAAAAAATTAACAAGTATTCCAGCTCACAAAATCAACTTCAAAGAGTAAGGTATTCAAAATATAGTAACTTCTCCAGCAAGATCACAAAAACATTTGCTATACTTTAACATTTTCCTTCCTTAAACTTTTAACACATAAAGAAATGCTAGATTGCTTTGCAAAATAACCTTTTTGAGATAATGTTAAGAACCAAAAAAAAAAATTGCAAAAATTACCTGTATACAAACTATTGCAGCAACTCTGACTTTTGATTTCTGAATGTTTTCAGTCTCTTTAATTGATCCATCACTGTCACTATAATCTGAATCTGATGATGCAAAATCAAGTACGGAAGATTCATGATCTGATAAACTTTGAGAACCCCGAGCTCCAGTCTGCTTCGTATTTGAACTGTCCCTTTGGCGTAGGTGTGGAGGCCTATATGGGGTGCGATCAGTCTTTTTAGGATCTTCCAAACGCATCTTAAGGCTCGCTAAACTAAGTTCCTTCTCCTTTTGACCAACTACAGGAGACGTAAGTTGAGTTCTACTACTAATGCCATAGGAAAAGAACATTCTCAAAGCAGCCACAAAACCTGACACCTGAAAGGATAATCAAATCCAGGAGGTGTGAAACATAATGGTAGTGGATACAACTCTGTTAGTTGATTTTAATCTCAGTACACAAAAGCAACTTACGTGGTCAGAAAGGGAACACTTACGGTCTGCTAGAGTCAAATGCAGACAATGCAGAAGAGATAAATAAAACCTGCAAAAGCACAAGTGCCATGCCAATATATATAAGGATGACGAATCCATGTATTAGATGTTGAAACAAGCAAAACTAGAGACTCTCAGGATACCTGGACATAGCAGTGTCTTCCACAAGGCTTTTAGCTGCCAAGGCATCCATCACTTTCCTAAAAACCTAGTCCACAGCAAAACAGCATCAGCATCATATATACAGAAACATTCGCACAAATACAAGTGTAAAAGAGAATCGCAACCTCAATCATTGATCTCCAGATGTCCACAGGCAAGGATGAGCCAACTCTAGAGATTGTCTCTCCAAGCATAGTAAATGCAAGGGTCTGATTTTCCCACACTGGCATTCTCTTTCCAGCTTCAAGAACAGAGCTTTGGCTGCGGATTGAGTGTGATGAGCTACTCAGCTCCGCATGAGAGCTCTCAATGATGCGCAGAAGGAACTTTACCAGCTGAAACTCATCCGCCGTCGAACACTTCCTCTGATACGTGCTCATAACACGTCTAAAGATAACGAATTTTACAAATTACAATCGAATTCGCAAATAGAATGCACATTTGCTCAGAATCGAAATGAAAACCATAGAAGCTTACCTTAGGGTCTGTAGAGCTTCCATTACGGGGGTGAATGTCGAAGAGCTGACGAAAACTCGAAGCATTTTGTTAAAAGCGTCGAGGATGAGAGTCCACGAAGCTGAATTGATCTCAAGAGGAAGACGATGGGAGATGTCATGGATCTGAATCAAACGACAAGAATTCTCAATATACAACGAAAACGAAGAAGCAAAGAAGCAAAAAGCCAAACTCTCTGCCGTTCATACCAAGTGAGTTGTGTGAGTGAAGGTAGGGGTCATGTCTTCAATGCCGTGAGGCCTTGTGGTGATGAGTTCCATGACGAACAGCAAATCGGAGGTAACTTCCTGGGGAGGGAGGGAGGGAGCGGCGGATAGGAGAGTGTGAGAATGGGAGAAGATGAAATGGTGGAGGAGTTCGGGGATTGGAGTGCGCAGAGGAGTTGTTAGGGTTTCGTCTCTCACGGTCAGAAACGCCGTCCTCCACCACCGTACCGGCGATGACGATGACGACGACGAGGAAGATGCCACCGCCATTTCACAGCTCGGCTTCTCTCAGTCCCTCCAACTCCAACTAATTTTACTTGTTGCAGCATACGCTGTCCAAACTGCTTCGGATTTGCTTGAACCAGTGAAACACTACCCATTGGGCCCAACTATTGAATCATAGGTCCATTTCCATTTGGGACATTTTCATTATGGGCTGAAATATATTGGCCGAAAACTACGAAGAAACTGTCTCCATTTACCAGAGAGGGCCGGCTAGGGCTTAGATGTCCGTATTGCACTCGAAAAACAAACATGTCATTTGGCCGGAACACTGCTTGGCCTTTTTGTTTTTCTTATTTTTTTTCATTCGTCAGGAACGGCGAGCATTATATTAAGTTTCCTCAAAATTGTCTTCTACATAAATTAAATTTGGTCACTTTTACACTGTGATGCCACCGCATATGCGAACGCTGCTTGTTGTCTTACAAATACGAACAAAACTAATTGTCTAACTTTCATTCCAACTCAAGCGGGTGGTATGAGGCTTAGATGTCCACATTACTCGCAAAACTAACAAAAGTCATTGAACTATAACACTATTTGGCTCCTTATAAGTACGAACAAAACTAACCATCTCACTTTCATTGCAACCCAATAGGCCCGGTTCATGCACAGATGTTTACATTGCACTCATCAAACAGCAAGAAGGAATGACACGTCACAATTTACGAAGGAAAGTGTTTTTCATTCGATTGACCCACCACCATACATTGTTGATGTTAGCAAGTTTGGTGCCTTTCATCTCAAGGCCCATAACTTTAACGGAAACCTTCTCCGATTGCAACATATTTACTTAACCCATCACTTTCCTCAATCGTAACGACCTGAATATCTTGGTCGCCACGGCACTGTTACTGTATACATCCGCCATTTGCAAGGGTGATTTGTATTCTGAGCGCCTTCTGTTTCCTATCATAATTATGAGCACTGTTTTCATCTTTGTCCAAACGCCAAATTGGACCAAGCAGAAGTGGGGATACAAAACACATGTTTAAAAATAAATAAATAAAACAAGCAAAATGAACGATACGGCAGAGGATGGTTGGTCTGCACAGAAAGTGGGCTGAGCTGCAGCTGAAAGCAGCCTTAACCAAATGCATTGATTTTAAGGGGCCATGGACATGTGTCCCAAATCCCTACTATTAATTGCTGTTTTTGAGTTGACCTGCGATGCAGGCAACCTCAGTTTTGAGTCATTTCCAAAATGGCTAGCTTGGCTTAACCTTAACCGGCGGTGTGATTTCTTGTTTTATTTTTTTCACTTGTATAAGCCGACTCTATGGGTCCAAAATATGCAACCGTCCTTCTAAAGCCCAGGTTCGAAATCCCAAGGGTTTTTTTCACTCCCAATGTAAACCAAAAAATGTAATCTTGAATTTTCAACCGCTGACAAATATTAGTAATTTGGGCTTTGTTCGGTGGCTCGATCAGAACATGATTGGAATTGAGTTTAAGCCAGCTCTTATAAGTTGTAATTCTCTAGATGAGGTTTGTATGTATAAATCATAACCCTCTAGACGAGACTTGTATTGCAAGGTGCAATTTGTTAGACTATTGTTCAATTTAATAAAGTTGAGTTCCAATATTTAATTGAAATAGTCCATCAATGTCAAGCCACCAAACGATGTTATAATCTCTGGGTATGAAACTAATAGTATATTTGGTGATACATCCTAATGTTTGGTTAACTAGTCAGTTTTCTTTATAAAGTGTAAGATAAATTTGACAGTAATATAGTAAGTAGATTAGGCGTGTAACTTTTTGATTTGTTCTAAATATCTGGCAATCAATCAAGGAAACAAGGATGGGATCTCTCTCTCTCTCTCTCTCTCTCTCTCTCTCTCAAAATTGTATAATAGAATAGAGCCAACCTCTGTTTTCTCTCCCCAAATAATTACCAAAAGCAAACAATCCTTGTTTCAGTTGTAGACAAAGCTTCCCTGCCCTTATCAGCTTATCCACATAATTCAATGCTTTTTTACTTTTCATGTTTTTTACATTGAAAAAAATGCCATATGGGGTCGGGGGTGGACTGCACATTGCAGCAGAAGCACACAGATCTTTCTTCATATAATTATATATACCTGCTAAACCCAGCGGCTCCACTTTACCATATAATCATTGTTGTTCTTATTTTATTCCTCTCTTTTCCTTTGTTGTTACATCATTACCAGTTGTTACCAATGGATCAATCCTGGCTTAGCTAGTTCCATTGAGAGAAGCTTGTCGACTTATATCAAATAATCATTTTAGACAAAAACTAACCAAAATTAATGTGTTAAATAAGAAGGAAAAAGGAGTTCAGACGATATACATGAAGCTGCTTGATGGTGGAAATCAATTTAAATATTTATGTATTGATGACTCCCATCCCATCTACTTTGAAAAAGAAGATATCTGAACTTAAAACTCTTTTTCATATTAAGCTGAAAAAAAGCAAGAAGTATCGATAAACTAAGAGTCCCTAAATTAAAACTTTACCCATTGAAGTAGAAGTTTCAAATATGTGTCAAAATTGTTCAACAAAAAAAAAAAGTGTCAAAATTGAATTTTAATTTGGCATCTTGATATGTGTCATAATTTCTTTGCAATCATTAGAAAGAATGCAATTTGGAATTGAGAAAATGATTAGGTTGTGGATGTCACCTATAACCTTGTACATTTGGATAGACATGAATCTTCCTGCCACTTATATATATATATATATATATATATATATATATATATATTAAAATAATAATAATAATTGTTTGCTTCACTGTGACAAAGCAGATCCTAAAACAAGACTCATTCTCCATTTCCTCTCCCTCACACTCAAATATATCCATCTTTTACTTAATTAGATTTTGCTTTAATGGTAATTGTTCATTTGATTAAATTATGAATTTTCCTTTTTCTTAATTTTTTTTCCTTTCAAATTATGTTTATCTTTCAAGAATCACGTTTAAAGTTCTAAACCAAAACAAGTGTAGGAATTAAGGAGACTTAATTCTTTGTATTTGGAAAAAGAATCATTCCTTTCCCTCTAACCTAGTCGCAGATTGTAATTAAATCAAAGACTTGTGTAACATAACACGAGTATATTGTTAGCTTAAGTTGTGTTATATTCTTCTTGCAACAAGATATCATATGCTATGTCAAACAACCAAAGTAAAGATAAAACTATCAAGTACTGGATGCTAGACCCACACTCATAGTCAACCTAATAATGGTTTGGAATTTTACTTTTTCCACCTTTTTTTTTTAAAAACGAGTAAAATTCTTATAATTCTTGTCGGGTTTCAAAATGAAATTCAAATTCGCACAATCACGTACAAATCGTATGTATTAAGCGAAATTAAGTACTTTTTTATACAAGAAATATTGAAGGAGACGAGAGTCCAACACAGAGCTTCTAAGTGTAAGAGATATTAAGTATTTTTAACATGTCCAAATTTGCTGTTTTTATTACTTAACCATTTGTGAGGTATAATTAATAGTTTGGAGTGAATGAAGCTCCCAGAAGAAGATAGACAGTGAGAATCGTATGCCCCACACATGTGAACGACAAATTTGTTTCAAAAGCCACTAGGCAAAATAATGTAAAACCTCAACTACACGTATGCATTTCTTCCTGCCTGAAGACCTATAAATCATCCTAATCTCAACACTCACGCAATCATTCTCTCTCTCTCTCTCTCTCTCTCTCTCTCTCTCTCTCCATCATCATTCAACAGCCTCATATCAGAAGCCAAAGAACCCAAAGAAAGAAAAGAGAAAAAGAAAAACCCCAGAATTAAAATAAAACATTCCCCTTTCTGCAAAAAGAGAGCTGGATCACCAGAAAAACAGAGCAAATTAAAACAAAACATAAATGAGACCGCCACCACCGCCAAGAAGATCACTGGAGCTATCAGCAGCATCCCAAGTAGCTGAATTTGGCCTCGTCCACCTCTCTCCGTCGCTATCCTCCTCCCCTCCCCCCACCAGACAAACGACATGCGTTTCGCACACCTGCCGCTGGTGGCCCTACTCTGGCTCCAAAGAGTTCGAGGCCAACGCCGCCATGGTCATCATCATCCTCCTCTCCGCCCTCATTTGCGCTTTGGGCCTCAACGCCGCCATCCGCTGCTTCCTCCGCGGCGGCGGGAGCGACAACAACAACAGCCCACGAGACAACGACGATAACAGTCATCTTCCGCAGACCCAGCAAGAATTGGTTCAAGCTCAGCAGAAGAGCAATGTGGCGGGAGTTTCGTGCCTGGAGGGGGCGCCGGAGCTGTTCTACTCGGCGGAGATGAAGGCAAGGCTGGCGGGGGCAGAGGCGGAGTGCGCCATTTGCTTGTCGGAGTTTGTGGAGGGGGAAGGGATCAGAGTGCTGGGGAGGTGCAAACATGGCTTCCATACTCACTGCATACAGGAGTGGCTGTCTTCTCACTCCTCTTGTCCCACGTGCCGCCGCACGTGCCTTCCTCCATCGCCACCACAACTCGCCACGGACAATAGTTCCCAGCAAATTCCCGCGCCGGAAAGCGGTCCATAGAAGCTAGCCACTGTACACAACATGTATGTAACTTAGTAATTTCTAATTTGAGTTGGAAGTTTTTTCAGTTATTTAATTGGTGCCATAATAGCTTAATTTAATTAATTTGGTACTAATTAATCACTAAGCAAAAATTATCAAAACCATTTTAGCTAGATCGGAAAACCAGCATATATAGTAAGCAGATCATTTTTACTTACCTGCAGCTGTAAAAATAACCGTCCAGGTTTTTTCGACTTTTACTGAACATGCATTTGGCCTGTTGTCATACTGGCCAACTGCTGAATGCTGATGCATGAAAAACAGATAGGAAGTTCAGTATGTGCCTGTATAACTTATGGGGTTGGATTGATAACGTTTCTCTTTCCAGCCAATGTCTCATTCTGCTAAAAGTACCAACGCACCGCGAACTTGCAACGTAGTTTCATAACCGAAGCGTAGTGCTAGAATCAGTTGTGCGTGCTGCTAGGGTCAGTCACGAAGCACGTCAAGCACGTCGCTTTGCATTGCGCAACTGACCGTAACATACCACGGTGCTTATGTCGTAATACTTTTTTTTGGTTGGTTGAAGATAGACTCAATGCATAGGTAAGATATGAAAGAATAAACATTCATCTGGAAAGAGAGAGACGAAACCATGCAGATATTAGGGGAGGGCAAAACGCAGTTTATGTAACCAATTTCACTCATTTCCCAACCAAAAATACGATATTGATAAATTACTGCAGCCAAAACAACAACATTACTCGCTATTATATTCTATTTATTTCAACAACCGCGAAAACCACATAAACAATGTGTAGAGAACAACTACAATACTGATTTGATTCAAGAACTAGTGTTGCTACTATCAAGTATACATATGACACGGCAAACAGAGAAAACTGAAGCAAGATGACAAACAGACCAAGCTCACACCACTAAAACATCTGACAAACAATCCAAAACCACAAAGTCCAAGGGGAAGAGACAATACGATCACATGTCTAGAAGCACTTTCTGTGAACGATGGATGGCCCTGATTCATCGTACTCTGGCTTAGATATCCACATCTGCATTCAAGCAAAACAATAACCAGACATTATAATCATAGAATCATACTGCCGTAATAAAAATACTACAAGAATTGATATATAAAAAAATGAAGAGTTGCCCATCATGATTATCATTCCAACGCATCAAAAACAAAAAGAAAATAACAAGAAAAGAGGAAAAGTTTTGCAACAATCCGAAAGTACTAAACTTTAAGAAGTTTATTTGGGAGAAAAAGAAGAAGAAAGATTTCACATATTTTTCTAGCTTTCTAAGCATAAACTCATAAGCTTTTTCATAGTAAATTAAGAATTCACTATCACCATTTTTTTTCTTTCTTCTATCATCAATAGAAATGAAGGGAAAATCAAGTATAAATTATTGTCATAGGAGGAGCAGTGTAACCGATACCTGCTGGAATGTGCTCAGTGAAGCTAATATAGACCCTCCAATCCAGACACTGTATTTTCTCTCTGGAGGTGCTACCACCTTAATCTTCACGCTGCTTGGTGCAAGGGCTGTGATCTCCTTGCTCATTCGATCAGCAATTCCTGGGAACATGGTGGACCCTCCACTCAGCACTATGTTACCATACAAGTCTTTTCTGATGTCAACATCACACTTCATAATTGAGTTGTAGGTGGTCTCATGAATTCCAGGAGACTCCATTCCAATAAATGATGGTTGAAATAGGACCTCGGGGCAACGAAATCGCTCTGCTCCAATTGTAATTACCTGACCATCAGGTAGTTCATAGCTCTTCTCAATTGATGAGCTGGTTTTAGCAGTTTCAAGTTCCTGTTCATAATCAAGTGCCACATAGGCAAGTTTCTCCTTAATGTCACGTACAATTTCCCGTTCAGCAGTTGTAGTAAAAGTGTACCCTCTCTCAGTCAGGATCTTCATTAAGGCATCTGTTAAATCTCTTCCAGCGAGGTCAAGCCGGAGGATGGCATGTGGAAGCGCATAACCTTCGTAGATGGGAACTGTGTGACTGACTCCATCACCAGAGTCCAGCACAATACCTGGGAAACGTTTCCTTGATTAAAAGGTAATGAACTTTCAAAATATTAAAACTTTTCTTCCAAATTTATTACTTTGTTTGCACTTGGTGGCAGAATTATAACAATTTAAATAGATAGATCACTCCCAGTTTTTTGAATTGGTACTAACCTGTAGTACGCCCGCTAGCATAGAGGGAGAGAACTGCTTGAATGGCAACATACATAGCAGGGACATTGAAGGTCTCAAACATGATCTGAGTCATCTTCTCCCTGTTTGCCTTAGGATTCAGGGGTGCCTCAGTAAGAAGCACAGGATGTTCTTCAGGAGCCACACGAAGCTCATTGTAGAAAGTATGATGCCAGATCTTTTCCATGTCATCCCAGTTGCTAACAATCCCATGTTCAATAGGGTATTTTAGTGTGAGAATACCTCTTTTGGACTGGGCCTCATCTCCAACATAGGCATCTTTCTGTCCCATCCCCACCATAACACCTGTGTGTCTAGGTCGACCAACAATACTGGGGAAGACAGCCCTTGGAGCATCATCTCCGGCAAATCCAGCCTGTTCAAGGAGGTCATAAAGAATGGTAAATACCAAGGGAGTTTGTGTATGCTAAGATGGATTTTCCTACATTGCTAGACCAAATGAAACTATGGCCTTACCTTCACCATTCCAGTTCCATTATCACAGACAAGAGGCTGAATGTCCTCGGTATCTGCCATTCTTTATGGTAACACTGCAAAAAATCTGTTAGAAACCTAAGAAGCTTACTTCAATTCAACAACCACGAATCGCCTCTATCCTCATAATGCATATAGTTATATCAGAATAACTCTGTTTTGGTCTAGGAAGTTGGTGTGTCTACATTAATATAACAAACATGCATATTATAATACTTGAAACAGGAATTCATTTGGAGATAGCAATATTTCACAACTTGAGGAAACAAATTCTCATATCAGTGAGTTATTACAATCTTGGATTAATTGCTAAACATTGGGTAACCCATGGCCCACTTGACTACTGCAAGACAGAGACAAAACTTGCATACAGCACAAAAGCCAAGTTTTGTTCAGAAACAACATGGCTAATCTTTGTTCATGAAGAGAGGTATAATTTACAGGCACGCACTTAATCCAACCACGAGGATCGCATAAATAAAAGATCACGCTTTTGACATAGATACATGCAGCCAACAATAAAAAACTTGATAAGAAGAGAAATGGGATTTTGAATTTCCTATTGTCCTAAAACGTTGTTAACTATACATAATCAAAACTTGATCATGCTTGGAGGTTGTGATATGAACCCTGATGGGCTGATGCCATCGAAATTTAGAACCCATCTGATCAAATCAATCAAGCCACTCAGACAAAAATCAGAAATTACATCAAAGTTGGTCACTCCCAACCAGTGACTAAAGTGATCAAAATCAACAGCCAGAAACAATCACTCAACCAATTTATCAAACACCAGAAATTCAAATTGAACTCGGATAGATTAATTAACACAAGACTAAAAATATTAAAACACAGCAGGAAATCGGATGCAGAGCACAAAGAAATGATCACTTGAACTTACAAAAGTAACCACAGAGGGAAAAAAGAGGAGCACAGAAACTGAAGAGAATTAAAATAAAAAAATGGTTTCTTGGTAAGAAGCATATCACCTTGGGAGTTTGGCTCGTTGAGGATGGAGAAGTCACAGCAGAACAGAGATGGGGTGCAGAGGAAAATAAGGAGGCAGAGAGTGAAGAGACAGACGACTAATAATGGAATAAAGAAAGAAAGTCGGTGTAGATTCTGCTTTACGATTAGACAAACAAACAAGGTGATAAGAAAAAAAAGGAAGGAAATTTTTACCAAACTGCACCGCAAAGTGTTGGACGGTGGAGCCGCCAATGAACTTTCCAGAATGTAATTTACAGAAAATAAAATAAAAATATGAAAAAGGGTATTAAAAAAAAAAGAAAAAAGGGGACAGCTGGAAATTTGACTCGTTTCTCTGCTGCTTACGGTAAAGGGCGGGCTGACACCAATGCAAAGCTGAAAGCGTCACGCGGTGATGCCATGAGAGGAAAAATGTTCATTTTATTGGTAAAAATAAACCAATGATTTGTCTATACTGTTATCTGTCACCTAAGGGAATGTAACGTTTTTTTAAGAATGGCGATTCTATTGTTTTATTCAAACATAAGAATGTGCATGATTCTAAAGAGATTTGTAGAGGTTAAGAGGATGTCTCGTATTTGGCTCCTTTAATTTCTTATCGGTTATACAAAAAGAAAAAAACAACGTAATGATTATTCACTTTTTTTCTGAAATAATGAATCTTCTGAAATAATGGAATAGGCATTTCTTAGACATGATCTCGAATTTGGTGTTTTAGGTTTTATTTTCGAAGTTTGCGGTCTTGTGTCCAAAATCTCCTTTAGACAACTAAATCTTATTCTTCTTCTAAATTCGATTATTATTATTATTATTCACACCAACAATCCACCACGGGAATTCATGCCAATCTCCTATGAATTGGAGAAAGAAATTTACTTACATAAAAATAATTTCACACTTGCAGCAACAATTGCATTTACAATAGATTTTTTGTTTTGTTTGGAGAGGTAAAGAAACTCAAAGAAATACAAAGATAAAATATAAAAATTGATCACATAAAAACTAATTGATAATCAAAACGACGACACAGCGGGAAACGGCACAAGGGGCACGAGCGATGACTAGGACAGGTTTCGAGCCACTTCTCAATGCAGTTGACATGAAAAATATGAGAGCAGGGCAAGTGAAGAAGCCGATTCCCATTCGTACCGCTCTCAAATTCCTCCCTACAAATCACACACATCGCCTCTCCCCCAATCTGCGGTCGTTCCATCCTCTGCTTCTTATTCTTCTTCATCACTAGGCTCACCACATGGGGCAGACATTCCGACTGCTTCGCCTTAAAACCAGCCAAAAACGACACAATGATGTGCTCGTGTTTGAACTCCGGGATTTCCATGGCGGCCAGGGCGTCGGCCATCAGGCTAATTGAATCGGAAGCGGAATTTGTGCTGTGACTTTTGTCAAATACTAATAATAAATCGGCGCGAGAGAGCGTAATGTCGAGTTCGGAGTCAAAGCGCGGCGGCTCAAGACTGACGTCGACTGGAACGTCGTCTTCGTCTGTCCAAACCGTTTCGGTTTCCGTGAAGAGCTTGAATTTGAGATGATACTGATCTTCGACGGGAATTGGATGATTTGTTTGCATTGTGAATGATTGAAACCGTGGGAAATTAAGAAGCTGAAACTCTGCAATCGATCGGGACAGTGGAAAAAGTTGGGCTGATTGAGAGTTGCCTTGTGATATTTATACTAATTTTTCAGTTCTCCTAATCGATTTAGGACTAGCTAGGTCGGTGGGATGCTAATTCAAAATTTTGGCTGATGGTACAACGGTCTACTAGTTAGGGTAGGAAAGTTGTTTTTTGGGCTTTTATTTGTTGGCTTTGGGCTTTTTATTTGTGCCCCAAGCCCTTGCTGTAAGTCTACTTGGGCCTTTGGACAAATATATTTTTTATTTTTTAAAATACAAGTATATTTTGTAAAACAAAGTTGTTAATAATAATAATAATTATTATTATAATAAAATACATATCTAATCCATGAGGTTTCTGAAAAAAATAAAAAATCTACAAGGATGAAATTTGAACCTTAGTGCAGTGCGACATTCTCACTGCTCTAACCAATTGACCTAACTCATGTCTGCTAAAAATAAAAATATTATAAAAAAACCTCAATTGGATGTTTGGATTGGAGGTGAGCTGATTCGAATCGGGACCAACCGGATTGTGAATTTGTTATTGTATCATAAATTCCAAGAGGGCAACGAAGACCGGCAATTTTTTATTAATTACTTTTGTGCTTACAAAATATAAATAGGTTATTAAAGAAATTTACAAACATGTGGCCCGGCCAGCCTCACCCAAAAGAAAGCCCAGTAGAGTTTGAATTGGGCTAGTCAGCCCTTTTTTGTCGGTCTCAATCGACCCAATAGTATAATCCTACGACTACACGCGGAGGGAGCTGATAATGTCGTCCAAAAGAGAAAAACGACATCAAAATCGAATTGCAAATGCACGTGAGCAACGCGTGACATTGATGAAAGAAAGAGGGTTTTCGGCTCCCTAAACCCCTTGATCCAATTCCAATTTTCCAGTGAAAGAAGCAGTGAGGAAGAAGAGCGATTGCGTTGTAAGCTCGTGGAATCGGGAGATGTGGTTTGGCAGTGGCGCGTTTAGGGCTTCCACTTCGACTGGAAGTGGTTTGATTACAAACGCCACTGCGTTTGTGAGGCATTTCTCTCGGAAGCGCGCAGAGAATTTGAGGAAAATCAACCCCAAAGTGAGCTTTCCGGAGGCTAACTCCATTGCTCGTGATCTATACGACGTCGTCAAGCAACATGGCCCTCTCACCATCTCCAATACTTGGGTTCAGGCTAAGGTTCTCCTCCTTTCTGTGAAATTATATTAGTTTTGTTTCATATAATACATATTTGTGTGCGTGTATGTGAATGTGACCCTTTTCATTGGGTTATTTTCATTTCTAATCACTGTGCTTAGTTGTGCATGAAATTTTATTAATTGGGTTTGAAACCAAATCTTGTCCTGTTGAGGCAGTCTCACAGGCATGTCAGATTGAAGTGAAGGGTGATGTAACCTAGCTTTCATACAGCTATTTTTATGCAATAAGTAATATTCTGTCATTCATTAGAGTAGGATAACTTGAACTGTAACTATGAGAATGTACTGAATCATACTTTCCATCTTATAATTGTATCCTTGGCTGATTATACTTTCTAGCTTTAACAAGTTTCTAATAAAACTTGAATGGTTTCTGTTAATGCTAACTTGAATGGGTTTCGACCAATAAAAAAACTTGAATGGTTTCTGTTAATACTAACATTCAAAATTTTAAATATAACAGCGAAATCACAAGGTGCTTAAGTTTAAGAAATTAAAGCACAGGCATCTGTGCTATTTAGGCCTAACCATAGAAATGAGAAAGCCTGTGTTCATATTTATGACAATCCTGGAGTTTATGCTAACTTTGTTTGTATTTATGATACAAGAAAGTACTAATTTTCGGTGTTATATTTGGTCATACTTTTTCGTGCACAAGTTCATAACATTTTCTAGTAGTTGGAAATATAAAATTTGAGAACTCTAATACATACCTGGTCATTTGTTTCTGTATAAAGATGTGTTCGATACTAATTTTCCAGTGCTAGAGTGTAACCATGTCTAGGAATTGTATGCTAGCAAGTACTCCTTACCAAACTAAGGCGGTCTATACTGTAATAGGTACCTGGTTTACTGATATCTAATATAGAGTGCTTTTCGTCAAACTTTTTATCTGAAATTTCCAATATAGCCATGGATTCTACATAGTGATGCCTGTTCATCCCAGGCCACATGTTTCATGTAGTTGTTGTTCTCTAAATTTTTGTTAGTTCATGTTTCTGATTAATGTTTTAATTGAAAAAATCAGGATTCTGGTCTCAGTGGATTGAACAGCAAAACACACATGAAGATAATGCTAAAATGGATGAGGGGAAGGAAGATGCTGAAGCTGTTCCCCAACCAAGTTGGTTCCACCAAAAAATTCTTGTTATGTTCACTGCCTGAAGACCCTGAAGTTACTGAATTTAGAACTTCCTCAGCAGTGAAGGTCCAAAATAGGAAGCCTTCCGTGAAGCGCAAAAAGCAAAAGAAATAAGAAGTCTGCCTGAGGCTTGGACCCTATCGCCTTGCTCAGCGTGTTCCATTGTGATTTCAGTGCTCCCTTTAGCTGTATGAGTCAACTTTTCCCTTTCCTACTTGTGCTGCTATCAATAGATGTTTAACTAATCTATGGTTGTCTTTGGAAATACTGTTCTTTTTGTTTTGTCCTCTTTTCGGATGAGTTTAGGTCCGGTAGTGATTACAGGTTGCTTGTATAATTTAGGAGGACAAATTTGATCATTGAAATAATATTGGTGGCAGATGTTGTTTCGAATTCTAGTATGATTGAATTCAATTTTTTATATTACCATCAATCTTCTTTTATCATGCAAAAATATTCGGAGGTTTTATGTTTCTAAGTTTTTCTTTTTTCATTAAAAAATAAAATAAAATTCTCACTCTATCTATACACTATAATCCATACAAAACGACGACCTCGGACTTCTCGAAAAAATAAAAAAAAACCTTGGACTCAATCTATAGTTTAAGGGTCGTGAGAAATCTAAGATTAGATTCGATATTTAGAGCATAGATAATTGACAGCAGCTAGCTAGAAAACGATAAAATGTAGGAGGAGAACAAATAAGCTAGCCTTCATAATTTCTGGCAGAAGGACTATCTATAGCACCAAATTTGATTACACGCCATACTAATAGGATGCCATTGTTCCATCACATCCACTGCGATCTATGTGAAAAACAATATATCTACAAGACATAACATAAATTCATTAGAATACATACATAAATATGACCCCCAAAAAAGTACACACATATATATATGGCCATATAAACTAGTTTAATGTATGAAGTGGACAAAACTCAATAGCTATATGTAGTGATGTAATAATCCAAATCTTAATTAATTTGTAATTATTAATTTAATAGATGAAAAGACTATTATATCCTTAGAATATTTTATTTGGTTTAAAGTAGACTTTTTGACTGAGAAAGAAATTGGAAATTTTGATTGTAGCGAAGGAAATGCGATTAAAAATAGGTCAGGGGCAAAATGGTAATTATGTGAAATCAGAATTTTTTTAAAACCCTCCCTTTCTCTCTCCTCCCCTTCCTTCTTCCTCGCGCGTCAACCCCCCCCCCCCCCCCCGGGTCTGGTTTTCCCGACTGCCACCAAACCTCCACAGCCACCGCCACACCGCAACCCAGCCCACCGGACCGGACCGGATCGCACCGCCGCTCCTCCCTTTTCCCTTCCCGACCATCCCCCGCCGTTTGAACCGCTGGCTTTCGCCCGAAACAGCTCGGATTTGGCCGGTTTTGCTCCGAATTTCAAACCTCTCGATCTCTCTCCTCCGGCCACCAAATCAGTCGAGTAAGGTATGGATTTTCGACTATTTTCCATGCTCTAGCTGATGGTTGGGTAGGATTCGATGAATTTCTAGCCTAGGTGGGTTGATTTTGAATTCAAAGTTCTGCCGGTTTTGGGATCGCGATTCCGGCCACTTTTTGGCCCTAGTCCAAGAACAAAAGTGGTTCCAAATTAGGTGTTTTACCTAGGGTAGGAGTTTGGGCCGGCGGTTTGGAGAATTTCCGACAGCCGGAATTTTCTATACGCGTGGGCTGGCGGCGGGTGGGCCAGGTATTGGGGACCACTTTCAGTCCTAGAATGATCCTCGTGTCCTTACGAGCGCGTAAGAACTTACGGATTTCAATTCGGACAACGTTTGAACCCTGAACGGATCTCACCTATTGCGCGATTTCTGGGTTCAATATGTTTGGACCGATGGATCGTAGTCAGACTGAAATATGTTGATCTAGGTAATTCCAGGATCGTATAGGATTTGACGAATCATAAATCAGAGTTTCGGATACTCCGAAAATGCCAACCCTAGGGCTAGGGTTACGGAAATCGTTCGTCCATCCGATCGTGCGATTGTGAGCAATCCGACCATCTGATCGAGACCAAACTCTCGGGACATGTGTCCTAGGTATGTGGGAAACTCTAAGAACTTTCAGATCGGGATTTTGAGATCGTGGACCCCACGGGGTCCCGGGTTGACTTTTTGGGACTTTATCGCTTTTGAGTCTTGAGTTTCTTCTAAACCATTCCAAATGAGAGGAAAGCTATTGTGGGCATAGGAACAACTTAAAATTGTTGCACGCACTTTTAGGAGCCAGGGGTCAGGGTTTTAATTTAATATTATATTATTGATCAAATTTATTAATAAAATATTATAATGGTTATTCAGGCACCCAGGCACAAACTGACCCGCAGGAGGGACCTTCGAAAGGTCTAGCTAGGATAAACTTCATCGTACCAAGGATTCTGACATGCGAAAATCGTTGAATTCTATTACGTTTCAACGGTTCAGGCCTTGGAATACTAAAGCTGCAATTGCTTCGTGGAAAGATTACATGAAGGAGATTTATCGTCATGTGGATTCTGATTATACTGGTTCGTCGATGGTGGACCTTCTTAGATTTCATCGAAATCTCTATCAGCACTACATTCATGTTAATTGTCGCAAACGTGGAGGGGTTACTATTGGAGGGGTTACATTGAATCTGGTCTAAAAATCTAGGAAAGAAGCATCTAACAACAGCACCGACTTCTTCAATAGTAACCCCTTCAATTGTAACCCTGCCACGTTTGCGACAATTAACATGAATGTAGTGCTGATAGAGATTTCGATGAAATCTAAGAAGGTCCACCATCGACGAACCAGTATAATCAGAATCCACATGACGATAAATCTCCTTCATGTAATCTTTCCATGAAGCAATTGCAGCTTTAATATTCCAAGGCCTGAATCGTTGAAACGTAGCAGAATTCAACAGTTTTCGCATATCAGAATCCTTGATATGATGAAGTTTATCAAAGTACCGCATCCTACCCTCGGGAGTCTTCAAGAAAAGATGGTTCTTTACATAGCAAAAAACTCTCTCTCCTCCAAGTACTAGATGAGGGAATACCGAACTTCGACAACAAAGTGAGTATGCTTTCCAAAACAATCTGCAGGCCATGAAAATCCTTGGTTTTCTTCAACTCTTCCCTAGAGGGATCATGTTCAATCAACAATCCTTCCACATTGATTAGCTTGCAAGAACCACCAACAAGAATATAACTCTTGTTCAATGCACCATGATATAGACCAATTGAATGAAGGTATGAAATACCCTTAATCAATTGTCTGCAAACCAAAAAATAGGATACAAAATCAAAAATCAATCCTCACCTAATTTCATCAATCCAATATGGGCACAGGCAGCGCTCACCAACCATGACATTAACCTTGGCAGCATCATTTACAAAACCGGACCTTACATATTGCATCCAATCGCCTAAATTTAAATCATATTTCTCATAGCAAACTGCAGACCAATTCTCAAAGTTAACACAGACAGTCACAGCGGCCAAATTGCATAGCCCTAGAAAACATAGTATGTGAAACGAGTGAAGATAAACTGAAAATCTTCGCAGCTTCCAAACCTTGACCAATAAGAGCAAAAGTGGAGGTCCATCCTGCTGGAACAAAAGATCTCCACTGCAATAGTTATCCAAAACAGATCCAGAAAAACTATAACGATTGAGACATGCACCAATCACAGTGGAATGAGACTGTTTCTCATTGAAGTCATTTCTTATACTATCGAGAAATCTTTGCTGAACGTCCATTCTCTTGTCTTATGTGAAACGAGTGTAGTCATTATAATTGATACAGCATCTGGTGATCACCCATTTGATCCACACACGGAACTGGTGGAGTTCTGGTCTTGGTGGGATTCCTTAGTGAAGTCAAAATCAGCTGCCAACCTCAATATCTGTACGCTGGCATGTTTCAAATGATTGAGATTACAGTTTTATCTGCCAAACATTATATGTAAGTTGCTAACTTGCTAGTATATATGATGAACTCCATGCATGGACCTTTTGGCAGGCATGCAAAGTATTTCTGGTAGTGTAACAGGTGGAAAGAAGGATATCCAAGAAATGATGGATTTTTGTGCTGCTCATGGAATTCATCCAGTGATTGAAATAATTCCAGTTCAATATGCGAATGAAGCTATTGAGAGGCTACTAAAAAGTGATGTGAAATACCATGAAAGAGAAGAAGAATTTCTCTTGTTGATGTGTATTAATTAAGTTCACATGGATTGGATTGTTGGGACTCAAACCATCATCAAAGGCACAGGGAAGTTTTTTTCCCCATCAAAGGCTAGGCTAGGCCAGCCAGGCCATGACCAATTTCAAATATATCGATGTCTTGTAAATCTCACACAGACCTATTCAAAGATTATGTTACCTGCTAAAGCAGGCCATGCAAATTCTGCATCATCTATAATAATAACCCATGTGAATTCTGAACCTTAAAACTCTTCTTCAATATTGGCAACGGAGGCCCTTAAGATTTCTCTTTTTCTTTTTTTTTCTGCTATGGTTTATGTGCTCAACTGTTCTGTTTTTGAATGCCATGCAGGCCTGTTTTGCTTTCACTTCATTTGTGTTTGGAGACTCTTTGGTTGATGCAGGAAACAACGACTACATGTTCACTCTCTCAAAGGCAGACTCTCCTCCTTATGGCATTGATTTTAACCCTTCCGGTCTACACCCCACCGGTCGATTCACAAATGGTCGAACCATTTCAGACATTGTAGGTAAATGCACTGAACCATTTCAGACTTGGTGGATTTACACATTATTGGCTCTCAGCTAACTGCTAAATAGTCATCAGCTAATTCCTTCGGTCATTTAATGTTCAATGAAGCAACTCAATTATACCAACAGGACAAAAATTAACAAGAAAAATAGAGTCTAAGAATTCATCACAGTGCCTGAGTTTTAAATTGGGTCACAAGATTTTATTTATTTTATTTTTGTACTTGTTTATGTGTGACACATGATAATGCAGAAGCCATTAATACCATTTATGCCATGCATGAAGAGGATCTATTTATATATTTTTTCATAGGGCCCCAGAAGTTTATTAATTTTGCTTGTTTTTTAATTACTGTTCAGCAAGTGTTGTCTCTTTTCGGATGAGTTCAATAGGATTTGAGAATGCAAATGAGCCATGTTGTGGTGGGTACTTTCCACCATTTATTTGTTTCAAGAGCAGTGGTACAAACAGAAGCTCTGCGTTGTGTGCCGATCGATTGAAGTATGTGTTCTGGGATGCATATCATCCTACAGAAGCTGCAAATATGATCATAGCCAAGGGGTTACTTGATGGGGATGAAAGTGTTTGCTATCCCATTAACATCCGTGAGCTTTACAACTATAACTCCTAGTGTGACATATATTTATAGCCTACTTCAAATTGTTGAACCAAAATTGTAATGTAGGCAGGGAATGAATTGAACTAAAATGTTTATGTTTGATCATAATGTTAAGTCATTGAATGAATATCAAGAAGGGAAATTGATGGAATAATTTACAACAGATGATTGGTTCTTTAATGAGATCAAACTAAAACTAAAATAATAAAAAAACCGAAGAAATGAAGGCGGCCAGCTTTGCAGGACCAAACACAGATTTTAAGTTGCAGAAACACAGAAGATGGAAGAAGCATCATTCTTAAAACAGATTTCAGCCTTCAATTACAAAGGTGAACTCTGGCAATAGTTTCTGACACAGATATAAACTCCAAGGAGAAAAGAAAATTAATGTAAACAATTGGCTTCTCTTCTGTAACATCATCTTCCTCATTCAATTCCTTCGATCAATGAATATCAGAAAACCATTTCTTTGTAAGATATTAAAGGGGTTGACCATGCATGGCTCTTCCTCCATTACAATTTTATACTGTTTGCCACCTACCATCATCAACCACATAAATGAAACTAATAAGTCAAAATGCAGACCCTGCATGAGTTTTAATACTCAATCTGCAGACCTGTTGACCTGCTAGAGAACCTAGTAAGCTGAATGAGAATCCGAACCACAGTTCAAAAATGTACACTGAAGCTCTCCAAAGGCTAGTAAAAAAAGATGATTGAAAACTCCCTGAAATGAGACCATAAAAGAAAAGAAGATTTCCCTTCTTATAATGTACATATTAATATCATTATGAAACTGAAATTTTTTACATAAACTGTTGACACTAATAACAGGATTCATCACTGAAATATCATTATGTATTTAATCACCTGAGAAACCCTTGATCTAGTTTTCCTTATCTCACCAAAACAGACCCCTTAGGGTTAAAACATTAATGATTAGTGGCCTGGCCTCTCAACAAAGAGAGGAAACCTTTAATATAATTTCCGGAAAGTGAATAAAAGAACCGCCAATGCATAAAAAGGTCACCCTCACCCTTAATTAGCTTTGATCTATATAGCACTTGGAGAACGAGAAAAAGAAAGAGACAGGCATGTAACAATATTAGCCATGCGACTAGTGTTTAAGATCGTTGTATTTGTTTAAGTTTTAGTGGCTAAAGGTTTTCAATGGAAACTTAGTGGTGGGGGTTTGCTGTATGAGTGTTGATTAATGTCTAATTCATTCAAATCCCATCTCTCATAAGGAATAATGATCCAGTGAAGACACTGTATATACCAAGGTGAAGCTGAGTTGTTAAATTTGCTATAAATAGAATATAAACAGGAGATTCAAGTACATTGCCAAACTACTAAGAAGCAAAAACATAAGTGAGAACTCTCTCTCTCTAACTCTCTCTTGATTCTTAGTATCTTTCGAGACTTTTCCTATAATTAAAACCTACATTTCTCTTATACCTTGCATTATGGAAATCTCCAGCACTTTATTTCATTCTGTGTCTGTTCAGCAACCAGACTATCTTTCTTCTTTTCCCCTAGCACTTTATGTGTTATTAACAAATATGACGGATTAAGATACCGGGAAATTATGTCATGATGTCCTACTATATTTCTTTTTCTTTTATATATACCCAAACACAAGGTGTTCTTTAGCTTTAATCAGTAGCACCTGGAAAACAAGAAAAAAGAGAGAGAGGCATGTATATAATATTAGCAATATGCAGGGGGAAAGACTTTTGTATTTGTTTATGTTTAGTGGCTGAAGGCTTTGATAACTGGTAGAAACACAAAACATGTCTAAGACAAGGTGAAGGTATACCAAGGTGAAATTGAGTTGGTTATCAAGTACATTGGCAAACTACTAAGAAGCACAAACATAAGTGAGCTCTCTCTCTCTTATGTGTGTGTTTTTTTTTATAGTTGAACAGTCAACAATGAGCTCTGAGAGTGCAAGTGATGAGAACTGCCTTGGATATGCAGCAAGGGATACATCCAGAGTTCTATCCCATTACAAATTTAGCCTCAATTTGCAACAATTTTTAGTTTTTTTATTCGAAATTGTTTTTCAAGGAAAGATGACGTGCTAAAGAACCTAGTAATGGAAATCTAAACCACAGTTTAAGTTTGAGAGGAAATGTACACTTTCAACACAGAAATCAATTATGTTGTTATATATGTACACTGTTTCCTTCCCAATGCTTTGAGATAATAATGAAAACCAAGATAAATTACTAGAGTTTATATTTTCTTTTCCTTGTTTATTTTTCTGGTTTTATGTGTAGGGGTTTAATAATTAATAAAACATTGACTTTTATTAAAATTGAAGGCAAATTGAAAGCTGTTGGGTATTATAACATGGCAATATTGGGTCCAGTATGCAGTTATGCAGGATATGGTCTTTGTTAACAATGCCCCCAATCAATAGGCGTTAGGAAAGTGGTATTTGCAGAAGGCTTAATAATGCAACCAATAGGCCTTGGGAAAGTATGGGTTCTAAACATATTTTTAATCTCATATTGGGCCTGAGACTGCTAATAATACAGATTATTTTTCCAAATATGATGAACTTGCAAAATATAAATGAAAGTAGATTCTGAAATTCTTATCTACCAATGTCTAAAGATTACAGTCAACATGCGTGGCATTTGCCTTAGCCTCAAATCCACCCCACCATGACTCAAAGCTTACTCAATGTCAACCTCACAGGCTCTCCAGAACCTCAGAAAACTGGGACCAACCATTCAGTTCTCAGTCAACATGTTTTTACTGAAACTACAAAGTTTGATAAGAATAAACCGATTAAAATAGATAATGGTGAACATGGATTCTCTCATAATTTCACAATTTAAAGGAACCAATGAATAGTAATGGAATGGATAGAGCCAGTAAATCTCTTCCAAGAAAGGCATGTGTGGTCATAATTATTTCTAAGCAAAACTCAACCAACCATATACCCTTTAGCTAGCATTTGGTAAGTTGTTCAGGTATGTTGTATGAACAAAACCATCCCCATTAAACTCCGTGTCATGCATTTTGTGTTGTTGCATTTGTATTTCTCAGCTCTTCACATATTAGAGAACATGTTATCCACCAATTCACCAACTCATTATCCACCACTATCTTAGTTTTATGTTTGTATTAGTTGTATCCATTATGTACCACTTTGCATTGTCTCTTAGTTTATTATTATCAATCTTGAATAAATACCTCCTATGTGGAGATGAATCAATCAAGCAAAATATCATTCAATCATCAAATCTTTCATCACATACATACTAAAGAAGACACCCAGCTGAGCATTTAAATCCCTTCTTCTTTTTTGTTTTCTTTGCACCAGAATTATAGTGATTGATTTCATGGTGGTTCTAAGCCTTCAACCTGTCCAATTTTCTACCCCTAAACACATGTTATTATGTAGACCGGGCAGTAGTGTCCCATCCGATGTGGGATTGCAGAGGCATCAGGAGAGCCAGCTCCCATGGGACAAAAGACCAAGTACAATGATGGGTTTTTTGAGAAGGGATTTATGACACTGTTTGCTCGCAAAATGAAGAAGTTTGCAGCTCCAGTGAAGGCCAGGACTGAGACTAAGGAGAAGGCATGGTGGGAATATGACTATGAGAGCTTTGTGGATGTGTCTAAGAGAGTGATGCAGGGGAGGTCTAGAGTTCAGCAGCAGCAAGTGGTTCGAGAAGTGCTCTTGTCTATGCTGCCTCCAGGTGCGCCTGATCAGGTGGATAATAGTAGACCATTAATTCTCACTTCTCTAATGTTTACTTTGTTGGCAATTGGGTATAATTTTGTAGCACATGAAGGGATGGGGATTTGGTTTGTTCTGTTGTATGGATGAATTGAATAGTTATTTGACTTGTTATCTTTGCAGTTTAGGAAATTGTTTCCACCAACAAAGTGGGCAGCTGAATTCAATGCTGCATTAACAGTGCGTTTCTTCAGCTGGTTGGTTGGGCCTTCTGAGGTAATTATACTTTTACTCCTCTTAGCTAAAGCTAGATACAGTCTATACTGTATAGCATGAGTGGTGCTTTGTCACAAAATTAGAAATTGCTCATCTTTTCAACCTTTTAAAAGATTAATTTGGTTTTGGTCAATGTCAAATATCTGAAATTATTTGGTTTTTCAGTTGTGCAAGCTAAATATGATGTTTCATTTGCAGCTTCCTTTTGGACTTAATTGTTGTGATACACTAATTTATGGGCATCCACCAGGTTGTAGAAGTTGAGATAAATGGGGTGAAGCAAAGAAGTGGAGTCCATATAAAGAAATGCAGGTGGAATCTATATTTCATGATGTCCAAATTGAATATAATTTGTCAAGTTAACGTTGACTTTGACTCACGCCAACACAAACTAGACATTTAAAGCTTCAAGTCTTGGAATGGGAGCAAGAACTCACGACATATCATAGCTATATGTAAGAACGGGCAAATGCCCTATATGTGAAATGTTACTACTTCAATGGAGCTATACCTCCTCATACCAGGAACTACAACAATCCACCAAACAAATCAATCGTTCAAAAACCATATGTCAACCAGATTGTTGCTTTCACTTCTCATTGTCATTGTTGCTTTCTCCTCAAGCTTTCAGAATGTTGATTTTCTAGATTATTATTACTTTGTTATTTGCAATTGTGATCAGTCATCCAAGTTACAATTTCTGTGACTTTAAGAATTTATTAAAATAATTACGTACATCATACGATATTCCGTGAAGGTGGACTAATTTTATTATATTCTAATTAATCCCAGGGCTCTTGGCATTGATGATGTTTCCATAAAAATTACCCACTGTGGAGTTTATCATAATTTCTGGGAAGATGATGGCTTATCCTATGGTGAATATTGATAAGGATTTACTTTCCTATTTCTTGTGGGTTGAGTATCACTTTCCTGTTTCTAGTAGGTTTAGGCTGTTTCTAGAGGGTTTAGGATTACTTTCCTATTTCTAGAGGGTTTAGGATTACTTTCCTATTTCTAGAGGGTTGGATTACTTTCCTGTTTCGAAGCGGGTTAGGATTTGCTTGCTGTAGCTATATAGATTAGGTCATTATAAATACATGTTTTGTAATTGAGACTTTGATGTATTTTATCTGCCCTTGCATTATCTCTCTGTCTTCTTAACCCTAATCTCTCTTTCTCTTCTTCTAATTAATCTCTGTGTTCTGTCCGTCCGTCCAGTAATTCCTTCCCCTTTTTCTAGTTGCTATTTGCTATCATCATCATCTGGTATATTGATCAGAGCCTCCCTCCTATATATATATCATGGAGCGTCGGAATAATAATAAATCCACAGCTTCGGTGGCCTCCGCGGTCGAAGATGTTGAGGACAAGGTCTTGATGAGGATGGCTTCACGCCAAGATGAGCTCCATGACAAATTATCGGAAATCCAGGAAGCTCTAGCCATCATTACCTCCTCTCACCAAACCCAACTGACGATGGTGACGGAGGAGCTTCGGCTTCTACGCGCCAGTACTAGTACTAGTGCTAGACCCAGTCGTCCAAACCCCACGGGGGAGCATGCACCAATGACGGTAAATCAGGGGGAAGCTAGGTGTGTGTTTTTAGTGTTGTCTTCTTTCGAACGCCCATGCACTGATGCAATATATGAAGTAAAATTCAAACACGCATGTACAGGAGAAGTTGATGATGATTTGGGCAGAGAAGGAGTCACTCATGAACCCCCGCTTCTTCAACCTCTAGCCAAATTCTCGCATAATTATTTCCTTCAGAGTGCGAGGATCTCCTCCAAGTTATATCTACTTCAACAGGACGGTCTCGATAAACATTCTGGCTCCTCCTCCGCTAGATCATTCGGAGGATATGTTTTTGACATGGAGACTAGGTCATTAAGTCCATCCATTCCTCCTACCATATCTTCTAAGCCAGAAGCAACTGTTGTGTCTGCTTATGGCAAATTGTATTATCTGCCATCTCCATACATCCCAATATTTGCGTATCATCCAGGCTTTGAGAAATATGATCCCGATCATGAGCACTGGGAGTCAGTGCCTCCCGATCCACGCTTTGAGAAATATGATCCCGATCACGAGCATTGGGAGTCACTGCCTCCTTTTCCATTTTATAATGATGAGCTATACAATACGGAAATAACTGGTTATGCCGTTTGTTATGGTGTTATTTTGTTTTCGTTGGGCAACTTCACGCTCAAAAAATCCAAAGTCTTTGCTTTTCATGAGAGCAGAAAGGGAAAAGAATGGAATCAAGTGAAAGTTGACACTTCTACTTATGCTCCTTTTCGAGGGAGGGCTGTGGTTGTAGGCGAGACTATCTATGCCTTACATGCACTTTGGGAAAATATTATAGCATTCTCCTTTCGAATGGAAAAGGGTGATGACGGTGGTGTTGCATATTCACTAAGCAAACTCTTTCAATTGCACGAAGGCCTGAATATTGCAAGTCCACCGTTGCCATTTTATGAGCTTATAACAGAGTATTTGGTTCATTTGGGGAACCAAGACTTTGTTCATGTCATAACTGGTAGTTGCGAAGGACCTCGCCGTGTTCAATACTTTTGTATCACCACATTTCAAATTATTGTTGGAGAAGGAGGAACACATATGATCAAGACCTTGCATTCAACTGTTCGTTCTGTGGATATCAAGGGCCTTGATTGGTTCACGCTCCAGTTCTGCTTTACACCTTGAGTTGTCGTCGCGATTCTTGTGTTTTTATCAATAACATTACTTTGTAGGTTGAGATTCTATTACATTTTGTTTGTAACAAGAGTATGATCATGGAGGAATGGCTCCAACCAGAGGGAGCCTCTTCTACCCGAGTTATAATAGCATTACAGTTTAATGCATGTTTTGCCAGTAAATGAGCTCCCTTGGAATGAAAGAGACATTAGCATCCTCAAATTGTTGCAAATTCTTCTTGGCATCATCAATGAGAGATTCCCAGCTCACTTATTTATCACTGCACCTATTTTTTTTTTTTTTTTTGTGAGTCCCTATCCATCTAGGAATGTCAGCAAAGTAAACAAATCCCAAATCAAAGTTGAAGCTCCCCTTAGCCAAGCAGTCTGCAACCATGTTCTTCTCTCTGTAAACATGCTTCACCACACAATTATCAATTTGATTTATAAGCTCCCAACAGCTGGTTAGCAAAGTAGCTAGTGGGTGTAGACCAAGTATATTGGAATTCTGAAATAGTAGGACTGCTGTAGCAGAATCCATTTCAACAATCAAGTTGTTGATTTCCTTTTGCACAGCGAGTTTTAGGCCAAAGAACAGTCCCCAGATCTCAGCTTCTAGTATCTGACCTTTCCCAAGGTTGATTGCAAACCCCCCAGTCCAGTTGCCAAGTTCATCTCTTATCACTCCTCCAGCACCAATGGAGCCAGAAGTACATTTATACGAGCCGTCAACATTAAGCTTGAGGTAGCCAGGGGGAGGAGGTTCCCAAGCAAGAGTAACTTGGTAGTTGCTAGTAGTTTTTGTATTGGCTGAGCTAGCTGTAGACCATTCTTGGGTTGCTTTAAGAATCACTGCCCTGGAGTCAAAGGGCAGGTCCTCCTCTTTGCCAAACACTCTTATATTTCGCCATTTCCAAATGTACCAACAAGTATAGGCAAAGGCAACATTCCACGGGGTCTCATCCTGCCACTTTGAATTAGTTGTTAAACTAATTCTCAACCATGGCTGAAAGTCCATCTGAAAGAAATGGAGAGCTTGGTTTCGATTGAGGATTAAATTCCACACACTTTTGGCCTTGGTACAATCACGCAAGATATGTAAAGTAGATTCATTATTCCATCCACAAATACTACAGGAAGGGTCAGTCGTTAACCTTCTTCTTGCACGTTGCTCATTGGATAGTATTTTATCTCTAGACATAAGCCAAACAAAGAACTGCATTTTTGGAGGAATAGCATTTTTGGAGGATAGTATTTTATCACTGCACCTATTTGTTTTTTCGTCTTGTTGAGTAGTTTGTGTAGTGCACTTAATCTGCTGAAGAGATGAGTGTTTTAAATAATAGGATTAATAAACCAAAATCAAGACATGTCAATTGTATCTTTAACCCCAACTCTTTTCTGCCAAGCGCCTGGGAAAAACATATAAAAGATTTATTCTTTCATTTCTTTTTGCATATTTTCATTTGCCCCGGGGGCTTTCCAAAGTTACCATTCATTTTCTAACAATTATACCACAACAAATCTATCTACAAACTTATAAAATCATGCTTAAAGGGGAAAGAATGAAAAAACATAACAAATAATGGCTGCAAATATTTGCCACTTAGCCACCATCATATGCATATGCCACTTTTTTATTTTCCTTTTTTTATTTTTTGTTGTCGTCAATTTAGCAATCAGAAGTGATACGTAACGTTTACTCTTACATCCGAGGTTCTATATTCTATATCCTCCTCGCCCAATATTATTTGTATAAAAAGAATAATATATAACATTATAATTTATAAGCACATTAACACGAACATGAATTCAAACAATATGGCCAACGAGCCTGCAATGGCAAAATGTTAATTCGACTGCTCACAACAAAATCAAAATGGCCTGCTTTGTTAGAAAACTACAACGGAGAGCTCAAAGCCAAGCCCCACGCCAATGGCCATTGCAAATTCCCTTTCTTTGCCTTGTTTCTTGAAAATTTGTCAGAAGAAAATACCAAAAATTCAGAAGTAAAAATTCTCTGCAATTTTAGCATTAGTATTGTGTGACTCATAACTGGAAAGCAACTTTGTGTTGTTACTTCAAGAAAATATGAAGACAGAGAAACTTTAATGTATTTGCTTATAAATGAAAACGACATAGGGATCGACCTAGGGATGATATTGTATTTATGTAGTTAAATACTTAATAGAAAAAAAAAAAAAAAAAAAAAAAAAAAAA